ACAGTAATGTTTTGGATCACTTATCATTTCAAAGATCCCATCCTCGTCGCCAAAATTTGTAATATCTTTGGGTTCAAGAACGTATCAAAACGTACACAATGACTTCATTTCCAGAACAATTTATTTCACAAACTCTAGAGGGCTCACATCTCACATAATGTTACAGTATTTAAATGATCCATGTATATTACAAACATGATTAGGCTAGACAACGTAAGTTCAGGTTTATCATGCTTTGAAGTTGATGGTGATCCGACGACCCAAGCTGCAAGATGGCGGACCTGGAAAAAGTCGGTAGACATACTCATTACGGCGAAAGGAGTGACGGATCCAAACCAAAAGGAGGCGATCTTACTGCATGCTGGAGGTATCAGAATGCAAGAAATATATCATGCATTGCCCGAATTAACAACACCGCCACCAGAAATTGGGGGTGAAAATGAAAACGCGGCTGAAGAAGTTGCAGTCGACGTTTACCAACAAGCGGTTACGAAGCTAGACAGGTACTTCGAGCCGAGGGTTAATGAACCATACGAGAGACATAAGTTCAGAAAAATAAAGTAGCAACAGGGTGAGTCTATTTCTACTTACCTATCACGGTTGAACATACAAGCTGATCTATGTAATTTCAGCAATGAACGGAATAACAATATCAGAGACCAATTAATTGATGGTTGCTCTGCTGATAAGCTCCGGAAAATGTTGTTGGAGAAGGGTAATAAACTTACCTTAGAAACTGCCGTCACAGCAAGTAATTCCTTTGAACTAGTACAGAAACAAGCTCAAGCGATGAGTGCAAGCTCATCGTATGCAAATGGTAGCCATAACACAGCAGGCAGAGTAAATGCTGTACACAATCAACATAGCAGTAAGACTAGGCCTAGGCCTAAACCAAAACATAACTATCAGAACAATAAAAGCGGCAGTAGTAGTACGCAAGGAAGTACTACACAGTCGAGCGAATGCTATCGTTGTGGGCGACGTTCACATAACGCGAATGAGTGCTGGTTCAAAGACAAAGAATGTCGAGGCTGTGGGAAGCGAGGTCACATACAGAAGAAATGCAGATCTAAGCCCAAGACCGGTGCAAACAAAAGCATAAGCGCTGTATATAGAGATGATACAGAATCAGATGAGCGTGAAACAGTCCCAATGTACACGATGACGTCAGACTCAGGTGATGCGATAATCGTTGATATGGAGGTTGAAGGTCAATCATTGCAATTTGAGCTTGACACAGGAGCAACGCACACAGTTATCCCAGAACATGTGTTTGAGAACATTAATAAATCCAAACATATCAGGTTGTCAAAGTCAGAGATAGATTTTAAGAGTTTTACTGGGGAACGGATAAGACCTAAGGGCGTTGCTAGAGTTATGGTTAGTTACCAAAACCAATGTACTATGCTAGACGTGTATGTCGTCAAAGAGACAAACCAATTATTATTAGGAAGGGGTTGGTTGAAGTATATTAACATAGATTGGCCAAAATTATTTGCAAAAGTCAATCAAGTAAATAAGGTTGATAGAGAAATAGATGAACGCATCAGCAAGGTATTAGATGAATACAGCAACTTGTTTGATGGAAAGTTAGGGCTATTAAAAGATGTAAAAGCCAATATTGAACTAGAGGAAGGTTCTAAACCATACATGAGTAAATGTCATAGAGTTCCATACGCCTTAAAAGGCATGGTTAATGATGAATTGGATAGGCTAGTCAATGAAGGCATAATAACTCCTATTAAACATTCTGAATGGGGTAGCTCTATTTTTACTGTGCATAAGAAAAATGGTAAAATAAGAATATGTGGAAATTATAAACCCTCCGTTAATCCAATGTTGAAGTCAGTGGCTCCACCAAACATAAACATTGATGATATTTTGGTTAATTTATCAGGTGGGAATAAGTTTACAACCCTTGACCTTGCCCAAGCATATAATCAAATGGAGTTAGCAGATGAAGCTAAGAAAGTCCTAACTATAATAACGGAAAAAGGTTTTTACCAAATGAATCGATTACCTTTTGGTATCACAACAAAACCCGCCATTTGGCAAAATGTTATGTTGAATGTATTGCAGGGATTGAATGGCGTACAGGTATATCTTGACGATATTATTATTACGGGCAAAGATGACCAAGAGCACATAAATAATTTGAAGGGAGTATTGAGTAGGTTAGAGGAGTATGGGTTGAAACTGCGACGTGATAAATGTGTTTTGATGCAGAAATCTGTAGCTTTTCTAGGTCATGTCATAGATAAGGATGGCATACACAAGTGTCCAATTAAGACAGAGCAAATTTTGAACATACCCTTACCAACGGATGTTAGTCAACTCCGATCATACTTAGGTATGGTGAATTATTACCAATCATTTGTGCCTAATATGTCATCCATGCTTAACCCTTTGTATAAGATGTTGCAAAAGGGAGTGAAATTTCAGTGGTCTAAGGCAGCCAAAGATGCCTTTGAAAAATCCAAGTTTGAATTGGCTAATTCTGGGTTTTTGGTGCATTACAATCCCATGTTACCAATAACAGTAGCAACAGATGCGTCACCATATGGTGTGTCAGCCATATTGTCCCATATAATTGATGGCAAGAAGAGGCCAGTAAAGATAGCCTCTAGATCTTTGACTGCAGCCGAACAAAACTACCCACAAATAGAGAGGGAGGCATTGGCCATGGTTTATGCGTTAAAAAAGTTCTACCCATATGTGTATGGTAAACATTTCATGTTAGTAACAGATAATAAACCGTTGACTCGAATATTTGGTCCCAAAACAGGGTTACCAGTGTTAGCAGCTGAAAGGATGCAGAGATGGGCTTTGTATATTTCAGGTTTTGATTATGAAATTGTGTTTCGTAACAGTAGAGCTAATGCGAATGTTGATTGCTTTTCAAGGCTGCCAATAGGGTCAGCACCAGAGAATGAGTTAACAGACGTTAATGTTAATTTAATTGAGACTATGGAAGCACTCCCTGTAAATGTATATTAAGTTTGCTGTTTACTTTAATTAGTGAATTCACAACACTAGGCCAAATCGAATTACCTCTCGCACTATTAGGCCTAACCTAGTACTACTACATGATGATACATGATACCATGTAGAATCCAAGAGCAATATTTGGAAGCTTCTGGAATCTTGGGTATTGTAGAGGTAATTAGCCTATCGGTTAATTATGGTGTAAGGTACCAATGAGGAACTTAGGCAATATAGAATGCTCTTGAATGCTCTGGAGTTCTAGGGCTAATGTATATAAGGTGAGAGCTTGGTCTTTCCAGGAGGCTCTTTTTGAAACACATGTCAAGTCAATGCCTGATTGCGAGAAGGCATTTGTAAAGTTCAAAACAGCATTGTGTTCTGGTTCTGTTTTAAGAAACCCAGACTTTAATGTAGAGTTCATTCTGCAGACTGATGCATCACATCGGGGGTTAGGTGCAGCGCTCAGTCAGTTAGGCCCTGATGGTACTGACAATCCTGTGTTATATCTTAGTCGTAAGATGTTACAGAGGGAGCAAAGTTATGCAACTATAGAGAAGGAGTGTTTAGCCATAAAATGGGCAGTAGACAATCTGCAGTATTATCTGTTGGGTAGGAAATTTAAAATAGTGACTGATCATCAGCCACTAAAATGGCTGAATTAAATGAGGGAAACCAACAGAAGACTCGCCTGCTGGAGTCTTGATTTGCAACCTTACTGCTTTACAGTGGTGCATAGAAGGGGTATTTTCAACAGTAATGCCGACGGACTCTCCCGTAAAACTTAATGTTACAGCACAGTTTATAAATGTGTTTGAAAAAAAATAATAAATAGTTGTTTGCAGTTTGCATATTACAATTTTATGAAATCTATATTTTGCTTTGCTAATGATGATGTTATCATTTAATTTATTTCTACACTGTACAGTACTGTATATTCAGTTACAAGTTAAAGATACTGTGTATATTTTAATTAATGAGAGTATTATGTTGTGTGTAATAAATTACCATTCCTTTCCTTACTGTAACATATTTATTACATAGAACATTATAGAATTGCATTTATTTGACCAAACAAACAGTGTAAACCACATTGGTAATTATAGGAACACATGATACCATGTAGAATTCAAGAGTGATATTTGGCAGCTTCTGGAATCTTGGGTATTGTAGAAGCAATAAGCCTATTGGTTAATTATGGTGTAAGGTACCAATGAGGAACTTAGGCAATATTGAATGCTCTTGAATGCTCTGGAGTTCTAGGGCTAATGTATATAAGGTGAGAGCTTGGTCTTTCCGGGAGGCTCTTTTTGAAACACATATTTATGTAAATGTTGTTATTTTGATACTGGATTCTTGCTGGAGTTTATACAGAATAAAAGTTTGAGAGTTGTGTTACAACATTGTGAACTGTGTTTATATTTTATATGTCAAAGAGGGATTCCTAGTCATTTGCATACTGCTTAGAAATACGTCAAGTAGGAATTCATAACATATTATGATATCCATCGGCACTGACTTCCATTAAACAATTGATAAAATATGGAAAACATGTAACATTACAAATCTTTGTGGGAGATGAGTTATTTCTGGAAGATGCTTGCCACTGCTACCAAGAGTGTACACATTGTTCCAATGCTTGCTGAAACTCGCTAGACACGACTTATACCACCATCACGCTTCCTGGAGCTGGTAATTGATTATTCATGATATTTAAATATAATGTTCTTTGTGACTGGTGTACTCAGTCTTTTCCTTGCGTTCTTTTTAAAGACGTCCTCTAGTTCGTGGTACTGTAGTAGTTTTTTTAATTAGGAATTGATAGTTCTATAATGTTTGCAGACATTCACATTGGATTACCATAAAGAAATACAACAGGTTCTATTTTTGTTTTATTTCGCTGATGCTTGGCGCTGTCACAATCTGTGTATGTCAATCATTATACTAAATATATACCTGTATTTTAGTAAGTTTTAATATAATATTAATGGTTAAACTCATTTTTGTAAAAACTTAGTTTCAAATTATCTGAAATTGTTGAGATGACTATTATCAATCTGACATAAGGTGCAACATGAATCAATTTGTTGAGTAGGTTCATATATACCAAGTAAAATAGAACACAAAACGATACAGTATGTTGCTCATGAGATACGCCAGAACAAAGGCACAAGGCATATGCTGCTAAGAGGTTTCATTTCTTTCTCTCTAAAAACCACTTGTAGACAGTTGGTTTGTCTTCTGTTTCATCTGTTGAGTAGGTTCACATATACCAAGTACAATAGAACACAAAATGATATGCTGCTCATGAGATACGCCAGTACACAGGCACAAAGCATATGCTGCTAAGAGGTTTCATTTCCTTCTCTCAAGAAACCACTTGTAGACAGCTGGTTTGTCTTCTGTTTCATCTGCTACTTTAACTTTTCGTCTTCTTTTCTCCTAAAAAAGGTTTAAAATTATAAAATAAGTAATTTCTAAATTCAAAACAACCTTTACATTCACACCAATATTTGCAAAATATTAAGCAAACATAGTTTTGTGCATATATTGATAATAATGTCATTCTATATTTGCAAAATTAAAGGATATATAATTTTAAAATGACAGTAAAAAAAGGTAAAGGTAGTCTCGTATTTATTACTGAACGTAAGGGAATAACCTTTTAGGTTCATTGTATTAAGCCTAGGCATTGTGTGGTAGTGTTAGCCAGTTCCTTTCCACGCCGCCCTTTTTAACCATCCCAGTAGTAGTAGTTCCTCCTTCGTAATTGAAGATGACCAGGACCCTCCACAGTATATTTCAACCAGGTACCCAATTATACTCAATGATGGAGAAAGTAAATTGCCTTGTCCAAAAACACAAGCAAAATGCCCATCGAGAATTTCAACCCCGACCTTTAGATATCAGAGTAACATTTCAAAATCAGGGTCAGTTTGTCAGTCAGGTAGGAATATATTTCGGACAAGGAGTAATTCTAGGATTGATTGCCAATAATAACGTGTATGCAACGGGTAAACTTGTTAATTGAAGGTTCAAGAAAAATGGTTTTTATTTTGCAAAAAAATATAAATGATATTTATAGATGATTGGTAATAATCATAAAAATTGTGATTTTAAGAATGATCATTAATGGTCGTACATTCCCCGGTGGAGCTGGATTTTGCAATATCTTGAAGTAAAAAATAAATGATTAAGTACTCTGATCGTATATACTCTACATACGATCAGCTTTGTATCTACTGTATGTATTTAAACCGTATCTTTATTATTGAATTACATATTGTAGATACTGTGTAATTTAAATTAAATTATTGTTAAGTTTGAAAGGCAAATGGGAAAAACCCATAAAACAGCAAACGGCCATATAATGCAAAACAATTTAAAATTAAAATTAAAACGGAACAGTAGAGAAAATCCGATCAGAATGACAAAATAAACTAAGCATCGCGGGGCAGCTGACTCTCTGTCTCTTATACACATCTAGATGTGTATAAGAGACAGTATATATTCCTTTTATTATTTGATTTAATTGTTTTATAGTAATTAATATGTACTGTATAATTATATTTTATTTACTTTTATTGTAATGTTTTATATTATGTTCAGGTGGTTGAACTAGTATAGGTGTACTTTCACTTTATTTCTTCCACCTTGCTTACTATTGTCTATTCTATGTTGTGAGCAGAATTTCAATAAATCTAAAATCAGAAGAATTTCAACTGTAGGCCCAAGGCTGTTTGTTTCTATCGAACAACACTAGCCTGACATGAAATATAAACGACTGATAAGCTGATTGTCTGTATAACCTGGACTGTGGACACGAAAATAATACAGGCCTAGCACTTGCTGGTGCCTGCACTGATGGAATGGCTGCACTTCATTGTTTACTGTGGATTGGCCTACTTATCACTACATGTAATAACCATGACTTCCAAAATGATGTTGAGACTAGGACCACAGGACACAGCCTACTGTAGAAGCAAAGTGTGATTTATCAATGATAACACATAAATAGGAACACCATGTTAAAGCTGGGTACTAAATTTTGGCTAAAAAACTCCATCTTTTTGCCCTTTTTTAAACCCTGATTTATGAAATTGTTGGAAAAAATTAGCATTGGGGTACAGTGTTGTATTCGTCGTCAATCAATAGAAAATTCAAAATTAGTGAGTGGTAAAATAACCGAGCTCTTCTTTCACACACTACTGGATCTGCCACTGAACTCATGGGTATACTTCCTTTTTTCCCCTCTTTCTTTCTTCCCTTTAACTTCTCAATTTTTTTAATTTTTTGGCATGTCTGATTGGGGCACGGGCCCCTAAGTTCCGTTGGATCTGCCCCTGTTTACACTTTATGAACGGCTTCCTAGATATCTTTAAAGCAACTGTAAGGGAAAGCATACCATGCATTTCCAGAAAAGCATAGAAGCATGCAAATTGCCCCTGGGTAGATGATAAAATACGAAAACCTATCAATAAGAAAATCAACTGTTTCGCAAGGCACATGCATCAAATTCACTAGCCAATTAGGATGCATACAAAATTGTTCACAACAATTAGGTATGTGGTGGAAGAACCATCTCCTATTAATAACTACAGGTCAATCTCCCTCACATGGAAAAACTAATGTCCCACACATCACTACATACAGCCTTTTTACACCATTTCAACATTATTTATCCAACATAAATCATGTATGACTCAGTTGACCAATATCATCTATAACTGGACACAGTTACTTGACAGACTTCAACCTCCTGTCACTGACACAATATATCTTGACATGTCTAAAGAATTCAACAAACTTCTCCATCATTTGTTGCTTAACCATCTGATTTAAATATTCAATGATCTCTGTGGCAATGACTGCCTCGTTTTCGACAAACAGAACCCAGTGTGTACAGTATAATGGTGCTACTTCTGATAGAACTCTTAGGAGGTGTACCCTAGGGAACCATTATAGGACCCATTGCCTTTTTAGCATTTATTAATGATGCCCTTGCTAATTTTAATATTAATAAAAAGAAAGAGTGAAAATATGTTAATGACCTCACAATTGATGAAAATAAGACAGCTAATGAATTTAGAATTCTCTACAACTATTTTGAACAAATTGAAACTTAATAAGTACCCCTAATCCTGAATTGTACATTTCTAACCATCAGTTGGAATTAGTCCAAAAAGCTAAGTTATTGGGTGTCATTTTCCAAAATGATTTAAAGTGGCAATGCCAGGTAGATAATAATGTGTACTAAAGCCAATCCCAAAGTGTTCATAATATGAAAGTTAAAAGAGGCAAGGTTTACCCAAAATGAATTAGTCCGTAATTACAAAGGGTATGTTAGACCTGTCTTACAGTATGCTGCCCCTTTGTGGCATAAGGCGCTTACTCAGAGGGACAGGTGTAGAGGATTCAGAAACGAGTCTGCAAGATCATTCTAGGCTTTGATTATACTTCATACACAGTGTCTCTTGCAAATTTAGATCTTCAGCCTCTACACATGAGGAGATGGAATATTTTAAAGAAATTTGCCTCAAAGACAGACGTTTCAGGTAGATGCCCCACCTGGTTTCCTGCCCCTGAACTCAGAACCTGCAGGACACTAAGGAATCATCTGCTAATTAAAAATTATACATGTAAAACTAAAAGATTTCAAAACAGCTCCATCCCATTTATGACTGGTCTACTAAATAGTCTCAAATAAACTATTATAGGTAGGCCTACAGTAATCTGAAAATAGCACTGCAGTACAACTGTCTGCCCTGGTTCCTCTTTATAGGATTGTAGTTGCTTTTGCCTGTTGCGTCCTCTTTCAATTATTTTTGTTCTCATTCTTGAATTGTGGTATTTGATGTTCTTTTTGTTTTGACGATTTTAATTGTACATACATACGCAATTCAACTCTGGCTGCCATGTATGTTTTTGTTGGTTGAAAAAGAATACCGAAATATATATAAGCCTTTATATGCCCCCTGTTGATTCTGTCCCCTTACAAAATGATCTAAATATATTGCAAAACTGGGCTTCTGACAATATGATGAAATTCAATAAAGACAAGACTAAAATAATGCATATTACTAGAAAGAGAATTTATATATATATATATATTATTATTACATTTATTATTAGCTATTCTTTGATAGAATATTTGATAGAATATGGGTAATGATAATTAAATAATAATAAACTTGAAATTGTAAATGAGCTGAAGTACCTAGGTATAATTATTGATTGTAGGCTATCTTGAAATAGTCAAGTTAACTATGTAGTTTCTAAATGTGATAAAAATTATTGGCCTACTACTCCGTGTCTTAGGCAATTAGGCAATGTTTGTTTTTATATACTGTACATATTTATGGAAATTGTTGATTTTTATTAAATTTTTATATTTCAATAACTTGGCTACAGTTTATTTTTATTACTATTGTACATATTGTTGGATTCTTTAATTGTAAATATTAATGGAAATTTGTTAGTGATGATCCTTTTATACAATTTTATATTTTTATTATAATAATTCATGTATTGTTTCTGTTCTTGTATGTGTTTTGTCTTAATACATTTTTGAATGATTAGCAAGCTATATATAAATATCTGGGTGTGGAAATTGACGGACGTTTACTTGTAAACGCGGGGCAGCTGACTCTTTAGAGTTACAGTGAAGCTACTCCAAAATTGTTGTTTGTTCTTTTTGGTCAAATAAATAAATGAAAATGAAATAAATGAATTATAATAACTGATATATAAGACAACCCTCACTACTGTACTTACATGTATATCTTGTTTTGTTTGCATTTTTTGAGCAATAATAAACAATTGTTTTTCCCTCTCAATCCTTGCAGACAATTCCTTGTATTTTTTTCTTCTTTCCAGTTCAATTTCCTATAATGAACAAAAATAAACATATATAGTACATAAAGATCATTTCTAAATAAAGATCATTTCTAAATAGTAAAAAGAGACAAAATAAATAAATGAATAAATGAATATAAATAAATTCTGCTCTATAGTCACCTGGATGGTGATCCCTCTCTCTTTGTCTGGAGTAGTAATTTAGTAAAGTAGTAAAATTTAATTGCCAATTTCAATTTGTAAGTGTAGTCCTCTATGTATTTTTTGTTGATTAAGTTAATAGTTTAATTTTTTTTTCATAAT